ACTTATGTTTTGGAAGAAGACCATATGGAGAAGCTTTCCTCCTCCCAATTTGGGAAACTTATAGAAGCAGGAAACAAGATTGAATCTTCAGTGAGATTCCTTCACTTCATGTTGTCTAGGTAGTTGGTTACTAAAAAAAAAAAGCTGTGGTGTCTCTTTGCTGGTCAGCCCATTCGATTTTCTATTCGTGAGTTTGCTATTGCAATCGGGTTGAAATGTTCAGAATTGCCCCCGCAGTGTGAAGTAAACAAAAGGAAGCTCAGTAAGTATACAAAGAAGTTATTTGGCTCAGATAGAAATGCAACTCCTGGTTGGATAGCGACCACTCTTGCTGGCAGACTATACAAGGACAAGGAAACAAGATTTAAGCTTGTTCTCATCAATGGTGTTGTGTGTCCTACTTCTAAAAATGCAAAGATAAGCGGTGAACACATCTTGATGCTTAAAGATGTTGACAAATTCCTTGAAAATCATTGGGGTCGTAAATCATTTGATTTAACCATCGACGGCATCAAAACTAGGACAGCCAACTTGTCATACCTTTGCCAGCCTACTTGTGATTTTCAGGGTTTTTTACATGCACTACAAATGGTGATTTTGGAGTGTGCTCCTCTTATCTTGAATAAGGATGTTAAAGGTAAATCAATCAAGCCTTCTTTGGGGGATGATGAAGATGAAGAAGATGAATCCCCAACTATACGTCATGGTGCTGCAAAGCTAGTACATATCTCAATGCCTCATGTCAAGCATCTTGACAAGGACCAAAAGGTATTTTAATTAAGCAACTATGTGATAGTCATTCATAAGTAGTCACCTACGTCCAGTGTTATGTTAGTAATCGATACTGATAGTCATATACTGGTAGTCATATATTAGTAGTCGAAAACCCTTACACAAGATTGCCTTATAAGTGTACATACCAAATTAGTATAGTCACATATATATACATTAGTATTCGACTATATGTAATTGTATTATAGTAGTTGTTCACCTTATACTTTTTTGGTATATCAGGTAAAAGTTTGTCCAATTTTACTAGACGATGATAACCTGTTGGCTGATACCGATTTGGGAATAGATTATGATGACTCCGACGAATGCGTGGACAAGTTACTTGCTGCGATTTCACAAGGTGAAAAATTTTGTAGGAAATCGTGGAATTGTGGTAAAAAAGCAAGAGAAGGCAAAACCTTCATCTTCCCAAAATACAGCTTCTGAGGGTCCTTTAATGGATTCTGCTGCCACCACCATTCTCGATAAGGTCGATGGTGCAAATTCTGTGGTTTTACAGGAGCCTAAAAACCTTCGCGCAGATTTCGGAAATCTCCGTACAGAAGTCTCCACAGCATTGTCAACCTTCAAACGGGCAATTTTTGAACTACAAGGCTCTATGATTTCTCATCTAAAATGTAGTTTTATATTTTATTTAAGGTTGATGAGCACCTCAAAACTGTGGAAGAGAACACTAATAAAGAACCACTTAACATTGAACTCCCACAACAAGGAAAGGTTTGTGTTAGTAATCGTCTATTATATATTAATAGTTAATGTTCGTGTTAGTAATCGTTTGGGTTAGTAATCATCTATTTCTTATTGGGTGGTAGTTTACAGATGCGGTCAATCCCGACGCACAGATCCAAAACCCAGTAGGAGTTGAACCTCCTGTTTGGTCACTTGGTCTTACACAAAAAGAACAAAACATGTTACCGGGCACTAAGATTCCAGCAGCTGAGCACCCACCTACCCGTAAAAGTAAACGTAGCCCAACCTTCATCTGCAATGTCGGACTTCGTAGTTCCACGCCCAAAACTTGAGTCATTTCTTTCCACCACCCAACTCTGAACAAGTCACTCTCCTTCAAGCAAGGATGGAAGACAGTCGGTGAGTTAAAATTTTTTGATGAGTTTCATCATATTCAATGCGTGTTCATATTCTTATTTTTCTATTTTTTTAGGAATTTTCCATGCTGGGATTGGATATTCTTCTCGGTGAATGTCTTGAAAGAAATCGTCTCTTTGAAATTTCCTCTGTGGTAATCATTTACTAACACAACACTTTTGTCTAAAAGTTTAGTAGTTGTAAACAAGTAGTTGTCTACTGACTTACGTTCTCTTTCTTGCTAGTTTATTGACAGCTTAATTAGGTTATTCCATCATCAGTTGTCGGAATTGAACGATGTACACTCACAATTTGACTTCGTTGAGTATGCCTTCCTTCACGAGATTGTCCAGCTCCATCCACAGTTCATAAACCCACCAAAAAAAGAAACCAGTTACACTTCCAAGTGGTGCTCTTGAATATGTCAGAGGCAGGTGCTTATGGAATACTCAGATTGGTCGTATTTACTGTCCCTACCAAGTGGACAGTAAATACTGGGTGGGCTTATGCATCGATTTTGAGAGTCACAAGATTTCTGTCCTTAATGCTTACGAGGCTTTTAAGGAGATGAAGCTTAAGACCAGTGTCGCACCACTCGCACAGTGCCTACCACATTTCATAAGGAAAGTCGCCTACAATTCAGAGATGAATTCCGAAAAAATCGTGAAACCAATGTTCTATATATTGAAATTAGGTATGTAATTCTCTATACAGTGGTCATTGACTAAGTAGTAAACTACATGATGTAGTTGTTTACTTTTATTTGTCTATTATTGCAGGTCATCTTGGTGTGTTGACACTCATGTCACTACAGTTACACGCTTCTAATATGTCTTTTGACTTGGTTATTGGTGATGATGTTGTTCGTGATGCCTCTCTAAAGTTTGCATATGATCTCCTATGTTTGATCAAACCGTTTTCTTGATGAATGACTTTGTCAATCCGAAGGAACCATCTACTTAATCATTTTCAGCTTTGTTTGTGTTTTAAGATTTCATGGGATTTATCTTATCGTGTAGGAACTTATCCTATGTTGGAATATTTAGGAACTTATCTTATTTGTTATCAAATATATGTTGTGTTAGTTCAAAACTTAATAATCTTAAACTTATTTGTGAAATTATAAAGTTACTCTATATGAGGTGAATGGGCTTTGTTCATTAGCTATATATTATAAGTAGCTAATAATTAATGTACATGTACATTAATGTAGCTATTATTGGTAAGTAGTTAATTACATTTATGCAGTGTAAGGAAAGTACAAATTCATGTTTACTACTAGCTACATAGTAATTGTAAGTAACTATTAGTAAGTAACTGATCTAATAGGCAACTATTAATGTACATCTACATACTACTACTAATACAAACAAGGGTTTAAAAGACCTACTAACTATAGGAATTCAGGAGATTCAAAATTAACTACTAACTATTTGATATAAATATGTGACTATTAATAGTTTGTATTTGAAAGTTATAGCTACTATCTACAGTTTTCAAAATAGTCTAAACTGGCGAATATAATAAAGTCTCCAAATCCAACAATCATAGATGATAAAGGGAGAAGAGTATTAGAGGCATTACAAATCCAACAAAATCCAACAAGAGAATGTCATAAACTTAAAGATGTGTTGTATAAAAAAAGCTTCAAATTTGCAATAGCAAATAACCTAAACAAGATTTGGGTTGAAACATGATGCTTATCAGTCATTCTCACCGGATTTTGACCTGTTGGAGCTTCAGGCTGGCGGTGACCGTTGGCGATGCTTCATCCCTGTAACCTCAACGAAGCACATGCGTAGGACACACGTCCTTGTTCAGTTAATCGTTATCTTATTTCCTAATGGGCTATACGATTGGGCTTTATTGTAAACTTTGTTTAGGCTATATATTTCGATTCCACTTGTAAACTGTTGTCCCATGTTTTGGGCTTTAATGAAATATAAGGTCGACAAAAAAAAAGAATAACATAGGATTTGTGATTTTAATACAAATCACTCCAACTGCTAGAATGAATACACCCACAGATTTTGCATCATGAGGATTTGTGGAGACAGAATGATCTAGTATTAGTAGATTATTATTGTTTTGACTAGGGCTTGACATTCAGGTTCTCGGTTCACTTTGTTTTTGTTTTGAGGTTTTGGGTAGTTCAGATATAGGGGATATAGGAACCATATGAATCGATAGAATTGTTCCTAAAGTGAAGAGCCGCTTTGAATCCAACACATTTTTTGGTTCTGTTCATATGTTTTTATCTACTATCCGAATTATTTGAGTTATCCAAAATATCCAAAAATATAATCGAGTTATCTAATAACTTGAACTATCCGATATACTTGAGAAACTAAAACCTTCGAGTTATGATTACAATTTTGGGTATTTGGTTATGTCAAATCTAAATATATCTAATTTTATGTATATATTTATATTTTGAGTATTTAGATACTTATTCGAATATTTGTATGGTTCCGGCTATATTCCGATATCCTAAATATTTTTTTATAAAAAAACTATTTCAATATTTATGGTTATCCAAATCTGTTTAGTTTCTAGTACTTTGTTTCGATCCTATCAAGGAGAGACGGTTTCAGACTTGTTTATCAACAAACTTGATGATCGTAGCTGAAGGGAGAGGAGTCTTTCTATGACGACGTGAATTTCTTTCTCTCCATATGCTATTTAATGTTACTTGGAAAACATATCTAGCAAGAAAGAACGGGATGGGGTTGCTGGTGGTGGCTGAGATGATTGCGATGATACATTGCCAATCTGTGGAGAATTGTGATTTGAGGCCAAACATGTTAATTTTTATGTAATCTTTGATTGCTTTAGAATTTGCAAAAGAGACAAATTGCATGATTAAATTCGACTCGAAGCAATTCAATTGCCTAATATCCTCCTTTTTGTTGTTCTATGTTGCTGCTAATCAAAAGACTTTTTTGTTTTTCCTAATCGACAATCAAAAGACCATTTAAATCGGAAAAATCAAAAAACAAAAATTACACGATTTCACTATTAATTGGTAAATGAAAAAACTTATGGCACGAATCTAGATTGCACCGGAGACACAGAATGTGACAGACATGACCGTAGCCATCAAAATGGCCTTTACGCTTTAACCCTCACAAAGTCGTCAAAACTGTAAAACATCACAACAATTCCCGACTCTTTCTTCTCCACGAGCTAACCTCAGATCGGAGAATTCTTCTTCCTTCTTCCTGATCGCTGATCCTTTACCGAATATTGCTCAATCGTGTTCGAGAAGATCGCAGTTAGCTTCTTCCGAGGTTTCTTGTGGTTCGCGATTTTGGTTTGTTTTGCATATGAGAAATTAGGGTTTAAGCTTCCTTTTGGATCGATCTCTAGCCCCGGTGGCTTTGCTATAGCCAAGTAAAGAGCTGGGGGCGAATCAGTCTCATTCCCGCCATTATCCTGGCGTCGCCGATCAAACCAGGGTAGGATTCTGGGACTTTCTGCGACCTCTTCTAGGTAATGCCCCTCGCAACAACTCCTTACAGTTCATCGACTCCGTGAGCACCGTCGGATCTGATCGTACCATGGACTCAGTCGCCAGAGGTAACATCGCGTCTACAACCGGCGCTGCCGTGGAAGAGCCGGAGTATTTAGCTAGGTACCTCGTTGTCAAGCACTCGTGGCGTGGACGTTATAAGAGGATCCTTTGCATTTCCAGCGCCGGGATCGTGACGCTTGACCCGAACACTCTCTCGATTACTAATTCGTATGATACTGGAAGCAATTTTGATGGAGCTTCACCTTTGATTGGGAGGGATGAGAACACGGATAGTGTTGGTGGTGAGTTTACTATCAATGTTAGAACGGATGGGAAAGGAAAGTTCAAGGCTATGAAGTTCTCGTCTAGGTGCAGAGCAAGCATTTTAACCGAGTTGTACCGGCTTAGATGGAACCAAATTAGACCCGTGGCTGAATTTCAGGTGCTACATCTTAGGAGACGGAACGCTGAATGGGTTCCCTATGTAAGTTGTTTTCTTATAGTGGTTCCATTATCTAAGCTTTTATTCATGGTTTCTCTGATATTAGACCTTGATGGTTGCTCTTGTTGTCAAATTTGTTATTGGTGGTGAGTTTACTTTGGTTTTGAAGTCAAGTTGGACTAAGCCTTTCTGCTGTTTGACCTTTGACGTAATAATTAGAAGCTTCTGGTTTTTAGATAGTTTTTCATGTATTAGTATCTTCAATGTTTAATATCCTCTTGTGATGACGAACTGGTTAGGGCCGGAATGACTAGTTTCTTCAGTAGTTAACTAGATTTCACAAGACCAGTTTTATTTTTATTGTCTATGGGGTTGATTCCTTTTTTCATTCTTTTATCTGCTAGAATCAAGTATCATTTGAAAGTTGCAATTGGTCGTAGAAATTTAGAGAGGCCCTTTTACTAACTGAATCAATTTTTTTTTTTAATGGACTGAAATTTCTTTTCATCCGCAGAAACTGAAGGTCACATATGTAGGTTTGGAGCTCATCGATTCAAAATCTGGTGATTCACGCTGGATTTTGGATTTCAGAGACATGGGTTCCCCAGCAATTATTCTTCTCTCTGATGCATACCGGACAAAATCTACCGACTCTGCTGGGTTTGTTCTATGTCCCATGTATGGGAGAAAGTCAAAAGCTTTCAGAGCTGCACCTGGGACAACAAATTCCTCCATTGTCGCAAGTTTGGTATTAATGAGATACTTGGACATTAGTTGACAAGTTATTGCTATTGCTATATCTTGCGTTACTCTAATTGCTTTTAAACTTAATTACGCAATGCAACACTGCACATGTAGCTTAATGATTCCATATTTCATTTGCAGACTAAGACTGCAAAGTCTATGGTTGGGGTATTCTTGTCAGTCGATGGTTCACAATCGCTTCAAGCATCAGATTATATGACACAAAGGGGTAATAACAACCCCTCTTGCCTATGTGTCTTCTCTTGTTCAATTTGTTTCTTAATCTTGTTTTTCTTATTTCTTTTGATTGCCACAACTTCTTATAAACTTTACTATGCAGCAAAAGAAGCAGTTGGAGCTGAAGAAACTCCTAATGGGTGGTGGTCTGTTACTAGATTACGATCTTCTGCTCATGGAACTGTAAACATGCCTGGACTGAGCTTGGCTATTGGCCCCAAAGGAGGACTTGGTGAGCATGGGGATGCCGTACCCCTTCAGCTAATTCTGACTAAGGCCTCCCTTGTTGAGAGACGAATAGATAACTATGAAGTAAGTTGGCAACACGTTTTAGACAGATTTTCTATCTATATGACTATCTTATGCTGCTTTAATTTCTGTGTTTATTTGTTATTATTCCTGGATTTATTATCTAAAAAGCTTCCCATGCTATGGCCGTGCCTTTAATTGATTACAAGTCAAAGAAGTTACAACTTTGAGATGAAATGGAAGACTGAAAATGACTAGGAAGTAGCGTTACTTTATACTTGTTCAGTTTGGTTTTTTTCTGTCAAATACTGAGACTACTGCTTAGATGTGTGCAGGTTGTTATCGTTCGTCCTCTATCTTCAGTAAGTTCACTTGTCAGGTTCGCTGAGGAGCCCCAAATGTTTGCTATCGAATTCAATGATGGATGTCCAGTACATGTGAGTTTTTCTGCTTCTATGTTACATATTTATCCTTGATTATTACCTAATTTCTGTGCCACGTATTCTAGGTCTACGCGAGCATTTCCCGAGACAACCTACTTGCAGCAATTCTCGATATTTTGCAAACAGAAGTACGTAAACTTGTCATGTTTTAGAAATTAATGTTTGTCTTGAATATTTTCATATATTAATACTTTGCCTATATTGCACGGAAAATCTTTTGGTAGATGGGTATGCTGATATATGAAGGATATATATGATGCAGGGACAATCCCCGATACCAGTGTTACCAAGGCTTACCATGCCTGGTCATCGCATTGATCCGCCCTGTGGAAGAGTTAGTTTGATCTTTGGACCGCAACATCTTGTTGCTGATACGGAAACTTGCTCTCTACATCTGAAACATTTAGCTGCTGCTGCAAAAGATGCAGTTGCTGAAGGTGGGTCTGTTCCTGGTTGTAGGGCTAGACTATGGCGTAGAATAAGGGAGTTCAATGCTTGTATCCCATATACAGGTGTGCCAACCAATATTGAAGTCCCTGAGGTGACTCTGATGGCATTGATTACTATGCTCCCATCAACTCCAAATCTGCCTCTAGACGCCCCTCCGTTGCCACCTCCGTCGCCCAAAGCAGCAGCAACTGTCATTGGCTTTGTTGCATGTTTGCGTAGGTTATTGTCCTCCAGGACTGCAGCATCCCATATCATGTCTTTCCCTGCTGCCGTTAATAGGATAATGGGTTTACTTAGGAACGGTTCTGAAGGAGTGGCTGCTGAAGCTGCCGGGCTTATTGCATCCCTCATAGGTGGTGGCTCAGCAGATTTAAGTATTGCACCAGATTCCAGAGGAGAAAAACATGCAACTATCATGCATACCAAGTCTGTTTTGTTTGCTCAACAGGGTTATGTTACTATCCTGGTCAATCGATTGAAGCCCACGTCAGTCTCACCTTTGTTTTCCATGGCGATTGTTGAAGTGTTTGAGGCTATGGTTTGTGATCCACATGGAGAGACTACCCAATACACTGTTTTTGTAGAAATGTTACGCCAAATAGCTGCCCTACGACGTCGTTTATTTTCACTCTTTGCACATCCTGCCGAAAGTGTTAGGGAAATCATTGCTGTTGTAATGCGTACAATAGCTGAAGAAGATGCAATTGCTGCAGAGTCAATGCGTGATGCTGCTTTGCGCGATGGTGCTTTGTTGAGACATTTATTGAATGCATTTTCCCTTCCTGCCAGTGAACGGCTTGAGGTAAGTAGGCAGCTTGTGGCACTCTGGGCAGATTCTTACCAACCAGCTTTGGATCTTCTGTCTCGGGTTCTGCCACCTGGGCTTGTTGCATATTTGCATACACGCCCTGATGATGTTCTCGACAATATAAATCAAGAAGGATCGTCAACAAATAGGCGGCAGAAGAGATTACTTCAGCAGAGAAGAGGTCGCATAACAAGAGGAATGGGTGCTCAAGATTTTCCCCCTGGTAACAGTGTTGATACTGGTGATGCAGCAAAACATATGAGTGCAAATGCTTGTAGTGTAGCCGAGAATTTACAAAGGCCTGCTGCAGATTCTTCCTTTGAAGCTTCGAATTCGCAGACCTCTGCTTTTCCAGGTGGTCACAGTACTACTGCAGGGGTTTCACAAAATGGCTATCCAGCATTTGCTTCCAATCCGACAAATGCAAATGGGCATGAGCAACCTGAGACAAATGCATCCAATATGGTTGGTTCTGACCCAAACTTGTATGGCATCCCGAATTCAGTGCTTCCAGCACCTGCTCAAGTTATTGTAGAAAGTACACCTGTAGGTTCCGGAAAACTACTTCTAAATTGGCGTGAGTTTTGGCGTGCCTTTGGCCTTGATCATAATCGTGCAGATCTCATATGGAATGAGCGCACAAGGCAAGAATTAAGGGAGGCTTTGAAGGCTGAGGTTCACAACCTAGATGTCGAGAAAGAGCGCACGGAAGATATTACCCCAGGATCTGTGGCTGTCGAGGTCACAACTGGCCAGGAGACTATCCCACGTATATCTTGGAACTATTCTGAGTTCTCTGTTAGTTATCCTAGCTTGTCAAAAGAAGTATGTGTGGGTCAATATTATCTACGCTTGTTGCTTGAAAGTGGGAGCACTGGCAAGGCACAAGATTTCCCTCTCCGTGATCCAGTTGCTTTTATCAGGGCACTCTATCATCGCTTCCAGTGTGATGCTGATATGGGACTTACGATTGGTGGCGCTGTTCCGGATGAATTGGGTCCATCAGGCGATTGGTGTGATATGAGTAGGCTTGATGGTTTTGGTGGAGGGGGAGGAGCTTCTGTTAGGGAACTTTGTGCAAGAGCGATGGCGATTGTCTATGAGCAACACTACAGCGTAATAGGTCCGTTTGAAGGCACTGCACATATTACAGGACTGATAGATAGGACAGATGATAGAGCGTTGAGGCATCGCCTGCTTCTTCTCTTGAAGGTACAATAAATGATTAAAGTATCGTTTTCCCACTTTTTTTTTTATAATTATTCTAGCCATTCTTGTTAATATATTAACTTCTCAGTAGGTTTTGATGTATGCATATGCTCGTCACATACAATATTGTCCTGAGATAGTCAGACATCTAAGAGTATACATCTCTTTTCATGCTTTGTTGCTTACTTTTTTCTCGTACATGCAGGCTTTAGTGAAGGTCTTGTTGAACGTCGAAGGTTGTGTTGTTGTTGGTGGTTGTGTCCTAGCTGTAGATCTGCTGACGGTGGTTCATGAAAACTCGGAGAGGACTCCTATTCCGTTACAGTCAAATTTAATTGCTGCTACTGCATTTATGGAACCACAAAAGGAATGGATGTACATTGACAAAAGTGGTGCAGAAGTTGGACCTGTAGAGAAGGACGCCATCAGAAGTTTATGGTCTAAAAAGGACATTGACTGGACAACAAAGTGTCGGGCTTTTGGAATGTCAGACTGGAAGAAATTGCGTGATATCCGTGAACTTAGGTGGGCAGTAGCTGTCCGAGTTCCAGTCCTCACACCTACACAGGTGAGACTATATGGTTTACTTTATGTGTGTGACTGGCTATTCACCTTTGATTTTACCATGCTAAACTTTCCAAAACAAATATGCATTTCATGTCCTTTGCCTTATTATTCTGTTCTCATTCTGACATGTTTATGCAATACTCATTCTAATGGGTAAAACACTGCTCAGGTAGGGGATGCTGCGTTATCCATATTACATAGCATGGTTTCGGCACATTCAGATTTGGATGACGCTGGAGAGATTGTAACTCCGACACCAAAAGTAAAACGTATCTTGTCTAGCACACGTTGTCTTCCTCACATTGCTCAGGTAATGCCTTCTTCCTCTCTCCATTATTCTGCTTCTAGATGCGTTCATGATATTTTTGGTTGGTGTTATTAACCGGACCCAAGGGCCCTAGATTGGCGTTTAAGCATGCCTTCTTTCTCTCTCTGGGTTTTACCTATATTGTAGCATCTGAGAGAGGAGTTGCAACATAAGTCAGTATTTGAATCTTAATTAGTTTTTCTCTTCAACTGGAAGTTGGGGAGCGCAATTTTTTTGTTTTTGCCCCATTGTTAATTCTGATGTCTTCCCAAATTTTGGAAAAGGCTATGCTTTGTGGCGAACCAGTGATTGTTGAGGCAAGTGCTGCTCTTCTGAAAGATGTTGTTACCAGAAACCCTAAAGCGATGGTCCGCCTGTACAGCACAGGTGCCTTTTACTTTGCCCTTGCTTACCCTGGATCCAACCTGCACTCAATCGCACAACTCTTTTCGGTCACCCACGTGCATCAAGCTTTTCATGGTGGGGAAGAAGCTACTGTTTCCTCCTCTCTGCCCCTTGCTAAGCGAAGCGTATTGGGTGGTCTTCTCCCGGAATCCTTATTATACGTGTTAGAACGTAGTGGACCGGCTGCGTTTGCAGCTGCCATGGTTTCTGATTCTGATACTCCAGAGATTATATGGACACATAAAATGAGAGCAGAAAATCTTATATGTCAGGTATTTACATATTTGTTACTGCGGCTTTTAGGTCATTTTCTTTTGACCACTATCTGTAAACTGTCATTTTTTTTTGAGTTTTAATATATTGTTCCTATCTCTTCAGGTTTTGCAGCATCTTGGTGATTATCCCCAGAAATTGTCACAGCACTGCCACTGTTTGTATGATTATGCTCCCATGCCACCTGTTACATACCCAGAACTCAGAGATGAGATGTGGTGTCATCGTTATTATCTTAGAAATTTATGTAATGATATTCGATTTCCAAATTGGCCGATTGTTGAGCATGTCGAGTTTCTACAATCATTGCTCGTGATGTGGCGTGAAGAGTTGACTAGGAAACCCATGGATCTTTCTGAAGAAGAAGCTTGCAAAATTCTTGAGATATCGCTGAATGATGTTTCAAGTGATGACTTGAACGGGAGGGTTCAAGTTGGGTCAAATGAGGAGATATCTAATATATCGAAGCAAATTCAAAACCTTGATGAAGAGAAACTTAAGCGCCAGTATAGGAAACTTGCGATGAAGTACCATCCCGACAAAAATCCAGAAGGAAGAGAGAAGTTTCTGGCTGTTCAGAAAGCTTATGAATGCCTACAGGTATGTCAACCGGACTCTGATCATTGTCTGGAATTGAGGTTTCCTTCGGTTATATATTTAGCACCTTTGTTTGCTATTGTAATTCATTGTAGAGCATTGGGTCGTCTCGTTATATGTTGAAAAGTACAAACATCTTCGATACCAGCAGTTGATCCATGTTCAAGTCAATTGATGAATGCTAAGTGTAGTGATTGCTTTGTTTTTCCTATTAGTAGAGAAAATATTGGTCAGCGTTTTCCTTTATGGTGTTTGTACGATAGACAAGTCTATCTAATTGGAGTATGTACATATGTTCGTGTTATCAACCAAGGAGTACCTAGTAGAGAGAAGAAAGCCAATCTAAGTATAGACGACATAGTCAGATATTCTCGTCTAATTTGCAGTTATTGAACATGCTCAACTTTTAACTCAAGAAGTTCATTGTTTCTCCTATCTTTGAAACTCTGTCAATTTGTTTTAGTCGCAACTCCATAAATATGATCTAGTGTTATATTTGTTTTCCTTTTTTTTGCTCTAGATTTTATATTTATAATATTAAATTCATCCCTTCTTCTACTCGTAGGCAACAATGCAAGGATTGCAAGGTCCTCAGCCTTGGAGGTTACTGCTTTTACTGAAAGCGCAGTGCATCTTATATAGACGTTATGCACATGTGTTGCAGCCATTCAAATATGCTGGCTATCCAATGTTACTTGATGCAGTTACAGTGGACAAGGAGGACAACAATTTTCTATCTAGCGATAGAGCCCCTCTCCTTGTTGCAGCATCAGAGCTTGTTTCATTAACGTACGTAGTTCTCTTGCCAAAAAAATTGCAATTCTAATTTTATTTATTTCCATTCCTTCAATGTTATCTGTTTGACCTACTTTACTTTCTGCTATCAAACGTTTCAGCTGTGCTGCATCGTCATTGAATGGTGAAGAACTAGTCAGAGATGGTGGTGTGCAGCTTCTTTCGACTCTTCTTTCCCGCTGCATGTGTGTGGTTCAGCCAACAACTTCACAAAACGAACCAGCTGCAATCATTGTCACAAATGTAATGCGTACATTTTCTGTAATAAGTCAGTTCGAAAGTGCAAGGGCTGGAATTCTAGAGTTATCCAGTCTGATTGAAGACATTGTGCACTGTACGGAATTAGAACTTGTGCCTGCAGCCGTTAATGCCGCTCTTCAGTCTATTGCCAATGTTTCTGTCTTCTCCGAACTTCAGCATGGTCTGCTAAAGGCCGGTGCCTTGTGGTGCGCTATTTTTCTGCTCTCTTTGTTCTCATCAATATGTTCTTGTAACATATTAACCAATGGCTGTACTTCTATTGATTAATGCATCTATTTGTTCAGGTACATTCTCCCATTATTACTACAATATGACTCAACTGCAGAGGAATTTAATTCTGTCGAGTCTCATGGGGTTGGTGTTAGCATTCAAATTGCCAAAAATGAGCATGCCGTACAAGCATCACAAGCCCTGTCAAAGCTTAGTGGACTGTGTGCAGATGAGGGTTTGACACCTTACAATGCTGCTGCGGCTGATGTTCTCAGGGCTTTGCTGACTCCAAAGCTTGCTAGTATGTTGAAGGATGATGTTGCCAAAGAATTGTTGACCAAACTTAACACAAATTTGGAGACACCAGAGGTAAAGCTTCCTTGTTTACTATTTTTTTTTTTTTTAAGCCTGACCAGCTTAAGAATACTGAGATGAATGGTGCATACACATCTTCAGTATCCACATTTCCATGTATGTTTGTTCTATACTTGAGTGTAAAGTTGTGTTTTTGTCTCTCTCATGATAAAGAGATGTTTGATGTCATCATATTGCAGAACTTTCTGTTTCTTAAGATTTTTCTTTGCATGCACATACGAAATCTTGATGAACACTTCTCTGAGTGTTAAAGCTTGTTAAGGTTTTGGCAGACTATAACTGTATCAAATTTTTGTTTCACAGATTATCTGGAACTCTGCAACTCGATCAGAGCTTTTAAATTTTGTGGAAGAACAACGTGCCTGCCAGGGCCCTGATGGTTCATATGATCTGAAAACTGCCCAATCTTTTGCATATGAGTCACTGTCAAAAGAGGTCTATATCGGCAATGTTTACTTGAAAGTCTACAATGATCAGCCCGACTCAGATATCAGTGAACCCGAAGCATTCTGCAATGCTCTAATCGACTTTATATCATCTTTAGTGCATACTGAGTTAACCCCTGTTACTGAGGACAAAAAATTGATTGAAGACAGCAGGTCATCTAATGATACTCCAGAACCTCAAATTATTGTCGCAGAACCCTCATCGATTGAAGGACATTCTGATAATGAATCATCATCTGAGGGGATGAAGAAGGAAGAACACTATCTGATTTATCACCTCCAATTAGGATTGACTGCTCTTCAGGTACTCATATGGAGCATGTGAATGTTTAAATATCAAAATCAACATATCTGACATTTCTTTAACTTTTTTTCCGCAGAACTTGCTTACAAAGTATCCAGATCTGGCTTCAGTGTTTTCGTCTAAGGAGAGATTATTACCTCTCTTTGAATGTTTTTCAGTGCCCATTGCATCAACAACTGATATTCCAAAACTCTGCTTGAATGTCCTGTCTCGCCTTACTGCTTATGCTCCTTGCTTGGAAACAATGGTATCTGATGGATCTAGTCTTCTTCTCCTCTTGCAAATGCTTCATTCTGCACCTTCTTTTCGCGAGGGTGCTCTCCATGTTCTGTATGCTTTGGCAAGCACACAAGAACTTGCTTGGGCTGCTGCAAAACATGGTGGGGTAGTATACATTCTGGAACTCTTATTGCCATTGGAAAGTAAGATTCTCGATTGATTGTCTTTCCCTTTAGGCTTTTTGATTACATGCAATGGATCATTGACACAAAATGGTCTTGTGCAGAAGAAATTCCCATGCAGCAGAGAGCTGCAGCGGCTTCTTTGTTGGGGAAGCTTGTCGCACAACCAATGCATGGGCCTAGAGTTGCTATCACTCTAGTGAGATTCCTTCCAGATGGTCTTGTATCAATAATTCGTGATGGACCTGGGGAGGCTGTTGTACATGCGCTTGAGCGGACCACCGAGACTCCAGAACTTGTGTGGACACCAGCAATGGCAGCATCTTTATCTGCACAGATTGCAACCATGGCATCAGATATATATCGTGAACAACAGAAGGGCTGTGTTATTGAATGGGATGTACCCGAGCAGTCACCTGGTCAACAAGAAATGAGAGATGAGCCGCAGGTTATTTTTTTTATATCAACCTATATATGAATCAGAGCTGTAGGGAAAGAGTTCCTTGTAGTGGAAGCATAATTCTTGTCAAATTTTCTCTCTGTAGGTTGGTGGAATCTATGTCAGGCTTTTCTTAAAAGATCCAAAATTCCCTCTAAGAAATCCAAAAAGATTCTTGGAAGGACTGCTGGATCAATATTTGTCAGCAATGGCGGCAACACATTATGAACAACATCCTGTTGACCCTGAGCTCCCTCTCCTTCTCTCTGCTGCATTAGTTTCTTTGTTGCGTGTGCATCCCGCACTTGCAGATCACATAGGATATCTCGGGTATGTCCCCAAACTTGTCGCTGCTGTGGCGTATGAGGGTAGGCGGGAAACAATGTCTTCAGGAGAAGTAAAGGCTGAAGATATTGGCTCTGAAGGAGTGAATGAAAATGCTGATCCCTCAAGCCTACCTGGACAAACCCCTCAAGAACGTGTGCGCCTTAGTTGTTTACGTGTTCTACATCAACTTGCTGCTAGTACCGCATGTGCCGAAGCAATGGCTGCAACTAGTGCTGGGAATGCCCAGGTTCTCTGCTCTAATTTCTCTTCTCTTGCACACACTATTAATTGATTTTTGCGACATTTGAAATGACTCTCGAGTTGATTAAACACCAGGTGGTTCCACTTCTTATGAAAGCAATAGGATGGCATGGTGGGAGCATTTTAGCACTTGAGACACTTAAGCGTGTTGTCGTTGCTGGAAACCGGGCAAGAGATGCTCTTGTTGCGCAAGGCCTAAAGTGAGTCATCCTGTTACTACATGATTTTTCCTTGGTATTCAATCTGACAGTTTCTCACATCTTATTTATCTCGAAACCCGAATAAATTTCTGGAAAATAGCCGTTTTAGAAGTGCTTAAAATTTGGATTCAGTTTGTCTAATGTAATACAAACTGTTGTGAAAATTTGGCAGGGTTGGTCTTATTGAGGTTCTTCTTGGGCTGCTTGACTGGAGAACGGGCGGAAGGTATGGGCTTAGCTCTCACATGAAATGGAATGAATCGGAAGCATCGATCGGGCGGGTGCTCGCAGTTGAGGTTAGTTTCAGTAACGTTGATGATTTAGCGAGATGCTGTTTTGTTTGTTGGATGTTAGTGTAACACACTGATGAAATATTTCGAATCATATATTCTCAGGTATTGCATGGTTTTGCAACAGAAGGTGCACATTGTTCAAAAGTGCGAGAGATACTTGACGCTTCGGAAGTAAGTTGTGAAAAATGAAAATTATGAATAATAATGTCTTGTTCAAGTGTGTTTATTTTTTTGGGTTATAAACAATGATTAATTTTTGATAGGTGTGGAGTGCATATAAAGACCAAAAGCATGACCTCTTCCTCCCATCGAACACACAATCAGCGGCTGGAGTGGCTGGCTTTATCGAGAACTCATCCAACAGACTCACGTACGCCCTCACCGCTCCTCCTGCTTCTTCTTCGTCTCCTTGACCATTCCTGCCTTTTTGTATATCCTTTGTAAAGTTCCCTTCACTTCCTTGCTTTTGGTCTTTTCTATAGAGAACATATTGTCGTTTTGTAAATGTTTGATGAGGAAGTAAAGATATTGTGGTTTTTTACTTGTATCCCTACCATTTTTCTTCTTGTGTACCTCTATATGATTTCTTTTGTTAAAATCATAATGTAGTTCCAAAATCTGAAAGTCTGATTTTTGTTTTTGTTTCTCTCTCTTGATATTTATCTGTTGTGCGGAGTGAGTTGAATACTACTTAGGCTAATGCTATAGTAAAGGGAACAATTGTAAGTTAGGGCACTCGAATTGTAGTTGAAGCGTGTGAGCGTCAACCGATGATTGTAAATGTAACAAATAAAAATGTGATTAGAAATAACAGATTAATTAGTGTTACAGGGTTATGTTTGAAGACTCGTTCTATTGATGAAACCTAACTATTCTTACATGGAAATGATTCCCTTTTTGCTTTTTGAATAAAAGAATAATGATTGGGGTCACGGGGCTCACGGGGCTCACGGCCACGGGTTTACAAATGGATGTAGAGAAGAGAAGTCTGATTTTAGTTGACATTTTGGATAATGACAATCAAAAGTATATATATATATATATATATATATATTTTTTTTTTTTTTTTGTCAAGGGATATTTATTTTATTGGATTAGAAAATTCGTCAAAAGCATTAGTGATCATTTTAGCTATGGGTCTGAATGGTTATAATATTTCAAAACATTGGTTTTAATAGATACCAATTACAAATGCGATAAAAATCAGCATTAACACTTTGCAGTTGTTATTGTGTCACTACCTTTTAGGCTTTTACCACTCTAATCACATTTTCTTAGTTCAATATCGCTTACTGCTCCCTCTTTCCATTAAGACAAAACATTGTGTTGGGTATAAATAATTCCCCTTAGGGAAGATAACTCACGTGGAGCCACCTATGATATAGTAGAAATGTAGACTATAGCCCTAGATCTAAAAGTGCACTATGAGACTATGTAATCGAACCATTGGACATGTTATGACAGGTTATATGTGGTGTGGTTATCAATTCCCAAAACCACTGTACCACAAAAAGGACATAACCCGATTATACGAATCCGGCCATGTAAACTCTATAAAAATCATTAGAGGATCCATATCTTCTCATTACAAAATTTGTGGAGTAATACACCTTCTCAGAGAACACTTTCTCTAAACACCAGCTTTTCAGTCTTCAAGATACAACTTTGAAACTTACTTAAAATTAACTAAACTCGCTGATACTTTGTGGATTCATCATTCTTCATGACCCGAAGCCATCCATAGATTCTTCCATACACTTCCATTCTGGTTTCTTTACTTTATTTTTTTTATTTACACATCTCTGTTGTAGTATTTATTGGTTGTTTACTGACTTAAACATCAGAGGAGACATTTAAAAAAATATTTCACCATCGTATTTTTTTAGCTCTAATGTTCATTATTATTTGTTTAAGAGACAAACATGTGTTCATGACAAAAAAAAAAGAGACAGACATGTGTTCTCAAGAGAACGAAAAATACCTCAAATACTTTTCGTCCACAAATATATATACTCTGATACTTATATTTTTTATTTTAATTTATTACTCACTTTTTTCAATCATTATTATATTCAAATTTTATTTGGTTATTATTTTTTGCTAGATCTTGTTTATATTGTAAATTAATTTATGGAATCTGTTTCAGAAAATTCATTGACTTAATAAAAAGTATGAGATCCCTTTAAATTGTTTCTGCTTTTGGCAGCAAAAAAATATATTTATATGTGCTTGGAGAGATTTAGAACAGACACACCTTCAAAAATTCAAAGATAAATCAAAAATAATAACAGAGGCCTTAGACAAAAAGTTATCCACTCATTATATCATCTCCATCAACAAAATCTCCCTCTTCCTCTCCCAAAAAATATAAAAAATGTCTGTTAAAAAATGCATTTCACCACTTACTGTGATTCTCCTACTGACAACAACGATTCTATACAACAACCAAGCTCATGCAACAAGTCCAATCAAAACCATCGTTGTTCTGGTGATGGAGAATCGATCGTTCGATCACATGCTTGGCTGGATGAAGAAACTAAACCCGGAGATCAACGGTGTAGATGGTTCGGAGTCGAACCCGGTCTCTGTTTCGGACCCTTCTTCCAAGAAAATCCAATTTGGGTCGGGTTCACATTACGTGGATCCGGATCCGGGTCATTCGTTTCAGGCAATAAGGGAACAGATTTTCGGGTCAAATGATACATCAATGGATCCTCCACCGATGAATGGATTTGTTCAACAAGCATATTCGGAGGACCCCACTGGTAATATGGCTGCAAGTGTTATGAATGGGTTCGAACCTGATAAGGTTCCTGTCTATAAGTCACTTGTCTCTGAGTTCGCTGTTTTCGATAGGTAAATAATTTTTTTTTCTTTTTTTTGGTTGATTTTTTCCTGTCGTTTTGGACTTATTATGACGTCGAGTAATCTTATTGTCGCATCTTTTGTCGTATTTTTTGCTTATCTTAAAATAAGAAATATATTAATACTTTTTGGTTATGTATTATTAATATTTTACGCAATCAAATTCAGTAGATTTTAACTAAAAAATCTGAAAAGATTTTAAAAAGCAATATATATTTAACTAAAAAGCAATAAATCTGAAAAGATTTTAAAAAGAACAAATGGTTCCATATTAAATATATTTCTCTGTTTTATTAATTTCTTTTTCTCTCTTCCTGGGAAGTATTAAGTTTTTATGTTTTGTACTAGGTCTTGTATTTTACGTTTTATGTTTAGTACGTGAAAATTAGAAAATAGAGATATATATTGTGACAAAAAAATAGAGAGATATTAGTCAAAAGTTGTTAGATAAGAAATATATCACTAAAAAGCAATAAATTTGAACATATATATATATATATATATATCTAATTTTTGCTATTACAAAAATGATTCATGTTTAATAGATTCCTCCATTTCTGTGATTCTGTCATTATGGGAGCTTTTGATCTATCCGTTAAGGGGTTATATGGTGCTGCATTGTGATGTATCTATCCCTAGTTGAATTTTTCATTGTAACCGTTTCTGTTTTGAAAAGAAAAATGTTTTTAAAAAATAAGTTTTCCAATTTTTGATATCTTTCATTTTCTTCTCTCTAGGGAAGTATTATCACGTTATATATATATATATATATGGTTTTGTCTTTTGATCGAAATTTTTTTTAATATGTATATAGTCTTGTCTTGTTTTTGTTTTTGGTTAAAGTATAGTCTTGTTTTGTTATGTACGTAACATAGTCTTCTTGGCGCTTTCTTTTGTGGTCTTGTATTAAAACTGCATATTACGTAATCAAAATGATGAGAAACAAAATAGTACTAAGAAAATATTAAAAAAAAAAAAACACTGATGGTCCCTTCTTTGATTTATTTCTCCCGTTCATTAATGTGTCTCTTTATTAATATTATTTTATCTTTTCTCTCATTATGGATGCATTATTACTGGGTTTTTTTTTCATCATAAAGATCATAACCGATTTTTAATCCTAAAATACTTGATATATTGGCTAGATATGTTGAGTACGTAATAGTCTTACTGGTGCAATCTTTTGTGGTCTTATGTTAAAATTTAGTATTACGTAATCAAAATTAAAAGATCTTAAAGGTAAATAACCTGAAATTTGTTTTTTCTTTCTTTTTTTTTTGCCAAAAACCCGAAATTAATTTTAAACAGATGGTTTGCATCGGTTCCATCATCGACACAACCAAACCGAATGTTCGTGCACTCCGGGACGTCAGGAGGAGCCACAAGCAACAATCCAATGTTACTTGCAAAAGGATATCCTCAAAGAACCATTTTCGATAATCTTGACCAAGATGATATCTCTTTCGGAATATACTACCAGAATGTTCCGGCCGTATTGTTTTATCGAAACCTAAGGAAACTCAAATACATTCCTAAGTTTCATAGCTATGCATTGTCCTTCAAGGATCATGCAAAGAAAGGTAAGCTCCCTAGTTATGCTGTGATTGAGCAACGGTACATGGACACTATCTTTGAGCCGGCTACTGATGATCATCCATCCCATGATGTCTACCAAGGACAGGTTTTTTCTTTCTTACTTTTTTTTTAATCATCTTTTTAATGGTTTTCTTATTATAGCAAAACAAATTATTCAGTCAAAATTTTCAAGTTAGTTTCTTCCTTTTAATAGTGAAAAACATTCTTTTCAGATATAAATAGATTAGAAATGAATAACGTATACTATTAAATTTTAAAGTATTAGTTAGACATTTTTCACATTATATTTGAAATTAGTAGTATTTTTGAAAAAAATCCTGTTTATTTACGTGATTAAAAAGTATGTTAATCAAATATATTATTGGTTTTATTTATCTAGCTAATACTGAACTAAAGATTTATGTTTGGATTTATGTAAACATGTTTCCATCATTGACAATGTGAAAAAACATACATGTGATTTACATAGAGTATAAGCTAGTAATCATCAATTTCGTATTTTAGAAGGTTACAAAGGAAGTGCGAAATTTAATTGTGATGACTAACAGTAAAATCGTTACTAATTTCAGAAGTTTATAAAGGAGGTGTACGAGACCTTAAGAGCGAGTCCACAATGGAACGAAACTCTGCTGATGATCACATACGACGAGCACGGTGGATATTTTGACCACGTGCCAACACCGGTTCGCAATGTCCCTAGCCCGGACGGTATAGTCGGACAGGAACCGTTCCTATTCCAATTCAACCGGTTAGGTATTCGAGTACCAACAATAGCAGTGTCTCCATGGATCGAGAAAGGAACAGTCGTACATGGACCAAACGGGTCACCATTTCCATCATCAGAATATGAGCACTCTTCGATCCCTGCGACAGTGAAGAAACTATTCAATCTATCAACACCTTTCCTCACAAAGAGAGATGAATGGGCTGGTACTTTTGAAAACATTTTGCAAATCCGAAAAGAGCCTCGAACTGATTGCCCCGAGACCTTACCGGAACCGGTTAAGATAAGAATGACAGAAGCGAATGAGAATGCTAAACTGAGTGAGTTTCAGCAAGAGCTTGTACAACTAGCTGCGGTTTTGAAAGGAGATGATGTGCTTACAACATATCCTAAGGAAATAGGAAAAGGAATGACAGTGATTCAAGGGAAGAGGTATATGGAAGATGCTGTGAAACGATTCTTAGAGGCAGGTCGTTTAGCTTTAGCCATGGGAGCTAATAAAGAAGAGCTTGTTCACATGAGACCTTCCCTTACCGGAAGAAGACATTAAGCTCATTCTTCCTTTTAAACTTTATCATATCTCTATTTTTATTTCGCTTTTATGAGTAATAAGTTATAATAGCAACACAAAAAGTTATAAGTTATACCCCTGATATCTTATTAATAAAATGATTTTTTATAATTGACATTCTAATTTTATATGTACTTTATTTAAAGTTTATCTTTTTCATCTTTTTTGTGATAAGTTTTTCTTTTGTTTAAATTTATTCAAGTCTACTGAAATACATGCGGTGAATATATTAAAAGAAAATATCTTTATTGTTCGAGTATTTGTAAATGAAAAACAGGAATATGTGTCAAGGAAACTCAATAATCGCATGTGAAAAACAAGAATATGTGTGGAATCCGATTCTTTAATCTTTACAGGATGACAGGAGCTCGACTCATTACTTATGTGGGCCAAGTGCAAATTCTAGTTTTGGCAGAACAATGTAGAGATTTTTGCAAAAAAAGACTCTAAAATTTGTGGATAACCTCAAATTCTAACAAAAAGGTGCAATATTTTTGAGACCTAGTACAAATGCATTCCTGGCACATGCCCTGGACGACAGAAAGATCTCATACCAAATAGAATGATGTTGAAAGGGTTCAGAATCTCTTATCCCTCATCGAGTTTTGAAATGTATAAAAGAAAAATAAATTTTGGGAGCCAGAGGCTTTGGTCAACCGGAATTGAATGTTTTTGTATGAGCGATGTCTAGCATCTAAAGTAACAATACTCGAAATTAAGAATGCTTAACAACCTTTATTGCTTTTAGGAAAATAACTCAAAACCTAAAGCTTTTCAAATTCTCTATCATCTCATGAGAATGCCACACATCAACACCTTCATATATATAGAGAATAATTTCCAAAATTCTAATCTTATTAGAAATACAATTTTCTTTTTTTAGATGACTTCTACGTATATTTAGATAACTCCTAAGTATATTTAGCTAACTCCTAAGTATTATTAATTTATTTAGAAAACTTGCTGTTCAAGCTTTCTTCAAGCTTACTCCAACATTCTCCCCATTAAGTTTGAAGTCACTTCTTGACACTTCTTAAACTCCTATAAGATCTCTCATCTCCTTGAACTTGATCCTTCCTAGTACCTTGGTCAAAATACCAGCCTTCTGCTCTGTTCCGGGGACATGCTCTACCAGAACTTGTTCATTTTCAACACACTCTTTTATGAAATGATATTTCCTATGAATATGCTTACTTCGTCCATGGAAGACTGGGTTCTTAGTAAGTGCAATTGCAGACTTATTATCGGTGCGAACTATCACCTTTTCACATTCAGTTCCAATGACTTCTCCGAGTAGTTCTTTCAGCCAGATTGCCTGCTTTGCCGCCTCTGTACCAGCCATAAACTCAGCTTCGCAAGAGGATAATGCCATTGTTTCTTGCTTTTGTGAACACCAAGTTATCGGGCAGTTATTGAGGTAGAAGATATGGCCGGAAAGGCTGTGCTTTTACCATCATCTGCATTGACATTGCGGCTGCTATCACTATAGCCCCTCCTTCTGCACGACCAAACCTGCACTTCCATGGAAGACTGGTTCTTAGTAAGTGCCATTGAAGACTTATTATCGATGCGAACTATCACCTTTTCACATTCAGTTCCAGTGACTTCTTCGAGTAGTTCTTGCAGCCAGATTGCCTGCTTTGTCGCCTCTGTACCAGCCATAAGCTCAGCTTCGCAGGAGGATAATGCCATTGTTTCTTGCTTTTGTGTACACCGAGTTATCGGGCAGTCATTGAGGTAGAAGATATGGCCGGCTGTGCTTTTTCCATCATCTGCGTCGACATTGTGGCTGCTATCACTATAGCCCACTAAACCTGTTCCTTTTGCATGACCAAACCTGAGTCCGAGAGACAAGTTACGTCGCAAGTATCTAAGGATCTTCTTTAATGCTGCACCATGAGATTCCTTAGGTTCCTGCCACCAACGAAATAGGAGAGGTCTGGTTGGAAATGAAGTAATATCGGAGGCATCCAATGTTTCTTCTGTAATCCTTTTCATTGACACTTTTCTCTTCTTGTGCTTTAGAAAATTTCAAGTCTGAGTCCATTGAAATATGAACTGCATTGCATTCCTCCATTCCTGCTTCGATCAAAATTTTGGTCGCGTATTGCTCTTGCTTCAGAGTGATACCATTTTCATCTTGAAATACCTTAATGCCGAGGTAATATGTCAGCTTCCCTAAGTCGCTCATCTCAAATTTTCTGGACATTCCTCTTTTGAACTCAAGTATCAGATTCAAACTTGAACCTGTAACTAGTAGATCATCTACATATACAGCCACAAGGAGAATATGCTCCTTCTCCTGCTTTCGGTAAAACGATGGTTCTTTTGAGCACTTTGTAAACTTCAGTTTGCGCAAAATCTTATTCAACTTGTTGTTCTAAGCTCTCGGAGCTTGTCTTAGTCCATAAAGTGCTTTGTACAACTTATACACCTTGTGTTCGCTCCCTTTGACCACAAATCCTTCTGGTTGATCGACAAAGACCTCTTCATTTAGCTTGCCATGTAAAAATGCATTTTTTATATCAATAAGATGCACCTGCCAACTGTTCGAAGCTGCTAAGGCAAGAATAAAACAAACTATCTCGATGCATAACTGGGGAAAACACCTCGTCAAAGTCGATTCCATATCTCTGTACATAGCCTTTTGCTACGAGCCTTGCTTTATATTTGTTAATGCTTCCGTTTGAGTTATGCTTTATCTTAAAAACCCATTTCAATCCGATTGCTTTTGCTCCACCTAGAAGATCGACTAAAGACCATTTTTTGTCCTTTGTGATCGATGTCAATTCTTCTTCACATGCATCCCTCCACACTTGTAACTCCTTTGCCTCTTTGAAGCTCCAAGGTTCTTCGTTTATTGTTAGCAGAAGTCGTTCACCTTCAATTTCAGCGAGACAAAAAAAAATCATTCAAATAGCTTGATATTACAACTTGTCTTGTCGATCTCCTTAACACAGGTACTTCTACAGTGGATTCGGCTTCAGATTTAGGAACAATACTTTCTCTTTCGATGATCTCAACATCATTGTCTTCTTCTGCTCCGCTTTCCTCTGTTCTTTTGCTAATAACATCATTCTCCCTACTGCCATCAGTTCCATGATATCCAAGACTAAGTGTGAATGTTGTCGTCTCACTACTGGTCTTACTCTCTGAATTTTTTCCATTTCCAGCTTTTCTTTTCATCAAAGATCACATCCCTGCTTACAATTATCCTTCTACTTTCGTGATCTACTAGTCGTTAAGCTTTTGATCCTTGTTCAATTCCCAAATGTACTAGTATTCGTGATCTGTCATCAAGTTTCTTTAGGTGTGGAGACTCTGTTTTTTCATAGCTGATGCACCCAAAAACATGTAGGTGTTCGATGTTTGGCCTTCTTTTCTTAAAAGCTTCGTAAGGTGTTTGTTCAACTAAGGACCTTGTCGCAGCTCTGTCTATCAGATATGTGGCGTGTCGCACTGCTTCTCCCCACAGATAATTGGGCACACTCATGTTTTTCATGATGCTTCTCGTCATCTCTAGCAATGTTCTGTTCTGTCTCTCCACCACTCCATTTTGTTTAGGAGTATACGGAGTAGTTAAGTGCCTCATGATGCCTGATTTTTCACAAAACTCTTGGAACCCTTGCGACATGAATTTACCACCCCTATCTATTCAAAAGGTCTTGATGGTAGCACTTGTTTCTTGCTCAACAGTTGCCTTAAACTTCTTGAGTTTATCAAAGGCTTCACTTTTCTCTTTCAACAGTATTGACCACATATAGCGAGAGTGGTCATCGATCAGCACAAAGATGTATATGTTTCTTTCTGCTGTTGGAGGCGTAATAGGTCCGCAGAGGTCTCCATGTATGAGATCAAGTAATTTTGCGGCTCGGTATGCTGTTGCTTGAGGGAACACTTGCCTTCTTTTCTTTCCAAGTAAACATGAAGGACAAGTTTCATTTTCAACATAAATACTAGGTATTCCCGTGACAAATTGCTTCTTTATCATAATCTTCATTGTTTCGGAAGCAATATGTCCAAACCTTGCATGCCATCTGGTCGAGTCACTAGAAGCCTCAAGCTGTGGACATCTAGTATTCTCGACTTCCATAAGTACTTTACATATTCGATTTTTGGACCTATTCGCTTTTACCAGTAGCTTACCATCACGATTGTATGAGTTAGATGATCTCCCTTCATTCTGATGTCATATCCTAACTTTGTAGCCTGACCGAGGCTTATGATGTTGCTCTTTAGATCCGAGATGAAATAGACATCGGCCAAAACCTTTCGATCACCGTTCTTGCTTACAAAAAGAATAAACCCTTTTCCTTTGATGTCAATACGAGAGTTGTCTCCAAATCTCACTTCTCCTGTGATGTTTTCTTTGAGTTTGGAAAAATACTCCCAGTTTCCTGTCATGTGGTTGCTGGCTCCGTTATCTAGGTACCAGACATTGTCTCCATCTGAGCATGTCTCGAACTTGTCGGGTTTTACATTCTTCTCATTGAGATACACCACTTCGTGCATCATCAATTCCTCTGCCTCTTGAGTTTTGTCTTCCTCATTCTCTTGTGCTTCTTGCAGTTTACGAATTCTATCTGGACAAACATATGCATAATGCCCTGCTTTGTCGCACTGGTAACATATGAGTTTAGACCTGTCTTTCTCCTGTCTATAGCCTCCGTTTTGTTGGTTATCATTGCTGTCGTAGTACCCACGACCTCTTCCTCGTCCATAGAAGCATCCACCCCGTCATCTTCCTCTACCAGTTCCATAAGATTCTTGTGAATCTGTGTTTGCATACATGAGTTTTCCTTGATCAATCTGTTGATTTTCTTCACAAATTGTTTCCTCATATGCTTTTAGTCTTCCCACAATATCTTCAAAGCTTGTTGTTTTAAGATCAAGGAATTGTTTAGTGCGGCAATGACATGCATGTATTTTCCTCTTGGTAGGCTGTGTAGGAACTTCTTTACCAATTTCGATTCTTTGATCGTTTCTCCCAAAGCTGCTGATTTTGTTGATAATTCAGAAAGCTTGCCAACAAAGTCATCAGTAGTGTATGTTTCTTTCATCTTTATTCTGTCGAAATCAGCCATTAAGGTTTGAAGTCTCACTTCTTTTACTCTGTCTGCTCCCATATTTACGGTTTTTATCGCCTCCCACACTGCTTTTGAGGTATCGAGGTTTCCAACTTGCAAGATTAATGCTTTGGGTATGGATTGAAATAAAAGTGCTCTAGCCAAATTGTCTTTGTCTCCTTCTGTTGTTCCCGGGTCAATGGCTTCCCACACTTTACGTACCTTGAGTGCTACCTTCATCTGAGTTCTCCACACTGTATAGTTTGTTGCATTGAGAATCAGATATTGTATAGTCGAAGGATTACTCTTATTCGGTTTCGTTATCAGAACTATATCACCCATTTCGTTGAATTGTATGATCTTTGTATTTGATTTCTTTGCTTAACCTATAAGCTCTGATACCAAATAAAGTAACAATACTCAAGATTAAGAATACTTAACAATCTTTATTGTTTTTAGGAAAATAACTCAAAACGTAAAGCTTTTCAAACTCTTTCTAATCTCATGATAATGCCACACATTGACACCTTCATATATATATATATATATATATAGAATAATTTCAAAATCCTAATCCTATTAGAAATATAATTTTCTTTTTTCTTAGATAACTCCAAAGTATCTACTATAAAAAAAAGAGAAGAGATTCTCTCCAGAGGACGACACGTCAGCACTCCATGAGATAACACATGTTCAAGTGAAATACTGAATAATTTAAATGCGTCATTTATACTTAAATGTGTTATTTATACTTATGATTTTAGAATCGTCTATGCTTAATTCTTAGTTTTGCTACACCTCTTCATCTTCCTCTCAATAGGATTTATTATCAACGTTTCTTGTGCATGTATGCTAGTGATACTTTTCATTCCTCCTTTCTTTTATTCTTTCTCTAAGAGAAACTTTAGGTATGTGCTTCGGGCTTTCTCCCTTCTATTTTTTTGGTCAAGCCTCTTCCTTTCATGTCTTTGAATTTGTCGCCTTAATGCCATGTGCTCCGGGCTACCAACGGAACTTGGAAGTTTGTTAAGAAGTTATGCGATAAAACTCTAGAATTTCAAGTGTCATATGACTGCAATTAGCTTTATTTCTCCACTCACAATCTCCTCCGAACATCTTTGGTACATCTGATCGGTGATATTATAGGTATATTGTAGGTATTATTGCGGGTCATTCTGATCGGAGATTTGTTGAATAGTTTTATGATTTTCATATCTCTATTTCTCTCTTCGCTTAGACAGCTTCTATTGGGTCCAAACACTTCAACCCTTGCACGATGTGTATATTATTTCTAGCTTTTGTTGCTTACATAGACATTGCTGATAAAGCTTTGAACGAATCTGGCTCCCACTTGCAAAGTTTAGTACTCTAGAATTTCAAGTGTCATTCGACTGCAATTAGCTTTATTTCTCCACTCACAATCTCCTCCAAACATCTTTGGTACATCTGATCGGAGATATTATAGGTATATTGTAGGTATTATTGCGGGTCATTCTGATCGGAGATTTGTTGAATAATTTTATGATTTTCATATCTCTATTTTTCTCTTCGCTTAGGCAGCTTCTATTGGGTCCAAACACTTCAACCCTTGCACGATGTGTATATTATTTCTAGCTTTTGTTGCTTACATAGACATTGCTGATAAAGCTTTGAACGAATCTGGCTCCCACTTGAAAAGTTTAGTACTCTAGAATTTCAAGTGTCATTCGACTGCAATTAGCTTTATTTCTTCACTCACAATCTCCTCCGAACATCTTTGGTACATCTGATCGGAAATATTATAGGTATATTGTAGGTATTATTGAGGGTCATTCTGATCGGAGATTTGTTGAATAATTTTATGATTTTCATATCTCTATTTCTCTCTTCGCTTAGGCAGCTTCTATTGGGTCCAAACACTTCAACCCTTGCATGATGTGTATATTATTTCTAGTTTTGTTGCTTACATAGACATTGCTGATAAAGCTTTGAACGAATCTGGCTCCCACTTGCAAAGTTTAGTACAATTGTTTGTGAAATAGTCTATGTCGATCAATATCCAATGGCTTTTACTTTGTTTTTTTACACGTCAGGCTTGTAGTAATGGAGAAAGGAGAATTGTCAGAAGAAAAATTTCTAATTACAAGAACTTGCAGAGACATTACATGCATGGTTTGTAATAATGATAATCTCGCTTGAAGCACATATTTATGTCCAATAGAGCTGTATGTTACAAGAAATCAATATTTTTTTTTTCTACAATATTCATTTCCATGTATAACTGCTACGCAGAATATGGTTATTTGCATTTGGTTTTATTGTCATCTTTGTGTTGCTTAATTATAATATGTGTTAACGCGATGCATCTGACAAGTCTCCAAAGGCGTTTTGGCCATTTGCAGAGTATGTTATCTTCAATTTATTTTACAGATCTTAATAAGTGGATTTTGATTAAGCAAATAAATAAAAAGAGCCACTAAATGTTTGCAGTGCTCTTGTGTAGTTTTAGGAATATTCAAGTGTTTTTTTTTCTGTTTTGATCTTGTAGTTTTGCATCTTTAAGGTGGTTATGGATTGTAAAGACTTGGTCACATGAGTAGGATGAGAAGAAAAAATATAACTGGAGGAATGCATACTTATCGTTTAAGATACTTCACACTTCAAGTGGGCCTCTTCCAAAAGGAATAAATATGTTGTTATTGCCTCCCTTACGGCTTAAACAATCTTCAAAGTTCAAACTCTTCTATATATTTTGAAAGTTAGTATAAGCCAATGATGATATGTTCCATTTGGTCTAATACAGAATAAGCAATGTTTTGTAATAAATTGAACGAAAAGAAAAGTATTATGAATTAAAGCATATATTTATGTGTATATGCATTTATATATATTATTTCTATATATTATATTATATAGAGAGAGTACAAGAGAAATGAGAGGAGAAGAAAATCATTTCTCTTATTCAGTTGCTTCTTCTCTTTACAAAACTGAAGTAACATATTTATACTACTATGTAAACTAATATAATAATAACATGGAAGAGACTTCAGCAACATGGATTAATAACAAACATATATTTGGGGTAAGTAATAAACTTGTTTATGAAGGAAAGTGTTAGATGGATAATCATCTATTTCATAACACTCCCTCATGATTATCCATCACTATCAATATATTGCGTACTGTCTCATAAAA